TTAGGCACTAGGCTAGTAGCCAATGGGAGAAGTTGTGTTTTTAGCAATTTGGGGAAAATAGCCTGTTAGGGAGAAGTGACAGGAATTTATTTCTCAAGGAAATCATGAAATAGTCTACCTTAGAATTTAAATAGGCTGATTCTGTGGAATTTCTCCATCCCAGCACTGAAAAATACCAATTTAGGATATCTAGGTAAAATGGCTATCTTCATAAGAAGATACAATTATATCTAACTGTGGTGTAAAAGCTGTGTTGTCCAAATACGATCGTACTATTTTTCCTCAAATTAGCAACAATTAATTAGCACAAGTTAAAATATCTGTTCTTTATCATCCCATCAGACTTGTTTTGACCCCACACTGGACCATTCCAGCTCAACAGGAAGAATGCCTACTAATGAGCTGTCACCCCACTGCCTAGTAGAGCTTTGGTACACATGGTAAATTACAAGAAAAAAATACTGCTTAGTCTTGGCTAAGATAAATACAGTTCACGCTCAAGCGCATGTAGATATAGTACATCATACTCTTAATGCTTAGAAAGTATTCAATGAGCTATCTCTTAGGGGAAGTCCACGATTGAATGGTGAATGGTTCTAGCATTCTCACTATCACAATGCAAAATTATAGGAAAATCTCTCTGTGCGACTTAGTTCTTTTTTTCAAAAAAGAAAAAATATATATGTGTTTTGGCTGTCTTACAAAGATAGTGTTATGACTATATACGCAAATAAGAATATGTGATAGATGAATACTTATGTATTACATCTATGAAGTGTAGACTTTATATAAATTATACTATTCATCCTGTTCCTCTGTTTCTTTTCTCTTTCTCCCAGTTAATTAACAGACGTTTATGTGCCCCCTGTGCTATGAACTTGGAATCATTTTTTTCCCCTCTTCATTTTCACAACTGTTAGTTCAACTCAAGTTATTAAAATTATCACTATTAAATATTGATAACCTCATAACTGATACTCCTGTCTTTATTCTAGTTAAAAGCATTTATATATTGCTCTCAAACATTCAGTGGCTTTCTCTTGCCTACATATTAAATTTAAACTCTTTTGCCTATATTTCAAGATCTTCTATAAGATGAACTTAGCTTAAAAACCCAGTACTGTTTTATTCTTCCCAAAGTATGCATTCAGTTAGGTCATTGTCCTTTCTGCCATTTCCTCTCTACCACTCACTGTTCCATACCATCTTCTATAATTCCCTTTGCGACAGCTAACTCATTCCTGCTCCTGTGCCTTTCCTTTAAATTGTTCTCCCTTCCTAGCATGCCACCTCCTTTCTTAGATTCAGCTTAGCTGCATCTCTTCTATGAAAACATATCACAATGCACTGACTCATTTCCTATTTCTCCACACCTTTAACAGTGGCATACAGTTATAGTATACTTAATAGTCTCAATGTTTTATGTTTATCAATCTTCACTTAGAGATGAAACTATATTTATACATGTTCTGAATCCTCCACTGTACCTAGCACAATCCAGAGTATATAGTAGGAGATCAGCACATATATATTACCTAGTTAGTTTCTTACTTGGTATAATTAATCCATTAATAATTGTAATTATTACTTATTGATCAAACACTCTTTACTATGTATTTTTCTGAGTGTTTTTTACACATTATGTGATTTATTTCTCACAGCAACCCTATAAGGTCAGTTTTATTTACGCCTGAATTTGCAGATTAAGGAATTTGGTTCAGATTAGTTGCCCAAGGTCACTAACTGGGAGCTGGGATTAGAATTGTGGTTTGCCTTACTTTTAACTGTTCCACTAGAAGTAGAAACTATGATTGTTGAAGGAGCTTAAAATACTAAAAAGACAAAAATGTGGATTTATGGAACAATTTGAGATAGAAGTGCGAGTTACTTATATGTATATATATAAACATACTTATGGACACATGAGCACCAAGACCCTAAGTAGTCAATGGATAGATTCCAACCTAATCATATGTGTAGGGATGGGGAAGAGAAAGGGAATAAGAATGTAACACTTTCAGTAATATAAAGAATAGAAAACCTAATGCTCTGTGGAGTTGGAGAGTTTTAGCGATCAAAACAAATCCCTAACACATTAGTTTCAAGATAAGAGTCAAGTTTTTTTGCAAGGCAAAAGAGTTATTGTGTTAGTCTGTTTAACCTCATGATGTGCATGCTCTCTTTAAGCTTTAGATTTTTATGTTTAGGATCTCTTGATTTGTTTCTGATGTTTAGAACAACTTAACTGTTTTTCATAAAAGTACATTTATCATAATAAACCTTATATTTCACTCTGGATTTTGTCTTCCATCCTTTAAAGAAAAATGTTAGCCAGATTTTTGTTTAAAAATTTTTATTTATATATAATTATATATACATATGTAAGTGAGTCATATGGTTCACAGGATGCTTGTTAATTCAGGTGGCTTTCCAATTCCCACTAGATTATCTATGACCCTTCCCTCTCAACAAGGTCAACCAGTGGTTCTTTGATTGTAGATCTCCCTCAGTACAGCCACCTATTATTATTCTTGAGTTTGCTTTAAGAACATGTAATAAATGAAATAAAATATTAATCATCTCTTGACTCCCTCATTTTAAATTCAGTCAACACACATCTTAATGGATAGACAAATGGACTTAATCTTTTGAAAGGTTTAATGAAAATAAGTCACAGCAGCAATTTTTGTTTTTTTGCAAGTTGCCCATTTATCCTATACAGCTAGGTATGCAAACCACTGTCAGCTTCTTTAAATCTACTGAAGTTTTCTTTTAACTTGTGAATGGCCAAATTATGGCCAGCAGTATTAAAAGTTCTGGTTTATACTTGTATTTTTAATAGTGGTTCTAATACTTCTTTAGAAGTTGTGAATCTGTCTATAGCGATTGATATTTAGGCATTGACTCACCTTTTATGAGTGATTGGTCCATCTATTTAGTTATCTAAGTAACACAAATAGTCAATAATTTTTTCAATATTATGAAATAGTTCTTTAATAACCAAATTTAAATTTTGAATAACTGTTTTGTTCAATTTTTCTTTTTACTTACAGATATTAAAATATCTCATGTCATCTTTAGTAGTTATGAAACAATATTATCTTCAGTGTATACTAAACCAGTAATGTGTATTGCTATCCTCTAGGAATAATACTCACTGGAATCATTTTTAAAGACAAGGATATAATATACAACACAATATGAAATTTATGATATATAATATAGTTATCTAGCCAGTTTTCAAAAATACATATATTTTTAAAGTTTGGTATCAGTACATGTATTTTACCGGACATAATTTTAATTTGCAAAGTCATATCTTGGGATGTTGGTTATTTTCTTAATGACTTCATAAACAGTTCTGGATGATGACAGAAAAAAACTACTTTTTGAATTGCAGAATATAATTCATAGGCTTTTAACACAAGTTTGGGAAATGGATCAATTCTGATACTTAAAAAAATGATAAACTGCCAGTCATCATATTTGACATATCCTTTTACTCTTTATTTAATCCAAGACTTATGGATTAAATCTTATTCTTCTTTCTGATTGACTGGGATAAAAAATAATATAATTATTCCAATATACACAGAAAAAATTTGGGGGGAGGGACAGTTATTATTGATAGTATAAATATGTTTCTCTGGTTTTTCATTCTTTGTCTGGAATGTATTTTGCATTAGTTCGCATAAAAAGATATGCCATAATTTTTATCAATAATTTTAATGTGCTGTTTTCGTTTGGACCAAAGTATCTGTAAACTTTGAAAAATGTATATGTATTTTTATGTAAATATATGCCTGACTTCAGTTTTCATTATTTCTTTATAGAGAGACTCCACTTATCAGAGTCTCTGGCTTATCGTGAGCAGTTTTATCCTTTGAAATTTCTCTTTCAGAGAAAAATCAAGATAATTCAGAAAACCATTTTACAGTACTTTACCTTGAGAGATTTTTTCTTTAGTATCAGTCTTTTTATTACAGAAGTTCTAGCTTGCATAGTAAAAGCTATCCATGGAATCTTAAGAAATGAGAAACAGGAAATTGGGTTGTGTAATATAAATAAATACATATATGTGTGTGTGTGTGTTTTTAAATAGTTGCTTTCCCATCTAGATTTTAAATTTTTTACAAACTGCTAAGTGGACATGAAAGAATATTAATCTAAATGTTTAATGTCACTATTCTAATCTATTGAATCTAAACAACCTCCTTGTTTTAGATACTATATCATATGACTATCGTTATCAAAGTCAAATTTCCCTCTATTATTAAATTGAGTTGTTCAAGAATTTTTTATTGGTTATTTAATAATAGTTATTATGTGACGGCTTAGTGGAAGAGTGTGTGTTTAGACACACTAGTCCTCAAGATAATTTCAGGTTTGTCTGTGTTTACAGATCATGAAGTAAAGTGGACTTCTGGCAAGCATCCAGTTAATTTTTATCAGTGTAGGTAGACTGACCAGATAATGTTCTTCAGCTACTCTCCTTCCATTTCCTCAATGGTTTTTTGTATTTCTACACAACTAATGATCAGAAAAAATTATTACAGGTGCCCATTTCAACAAGTCACAGAAAGGAGATGAACAGGGCTTGAACCAATATGGATAGTAAGAAAATTATTTTGTGTATGAAGCTGCATTCTTTTGTAACACGGTGTGTAAAATTTATAATAGAGCAAAAACAGGTCTTGACCAAATAATATGAAATACTTTTCTTCTGTAGACATTGAGAAAGAGTAAATATGGATGACTGTTATTTGCTTTGGGTCCCTGGACATACTGAAGGTGACTCCCTTATATGTGGTATCTGTCACTTCTCCCCTGAGGAGTCATGAAAGTTAAGGTGACAGCTTCTTTTTTTAAATGTTCCAAGGCACTAAACAAAAATACCCATAGGAAAAATGCCACATCTGAATATAGATACTTTCTGAGAGGTGCATTTATTTTATTACTGATAGTCTTTTTTTCTCTCTGTCTCTCTTTTTCTTCTGTAGCAGTTATATGCTGCCCAGCTAGCTGCAATGCAGGTATCTCCAGGAGGAAAGCTCCCAGGCATACCCCAAGGCAACCTTGGTGCTGCTGTATCTCCTACCAGCATTCACACAGACAAGAGCACAAACAGCCCACCACCCAAAAGCAAGGTACCCTTTTGAAGAAACTGCATGTCTTGCCATTTAGAGTTTTACTTTGCATTCAGCGATATTTACTGAATATATATTATATGTGGCAGCAACTGGGCTAACCTCTGGGTTTTCACAGAGATAAGAGTCTAGTAGGATCAGTAAGGTGTGTGTGTAAATTTACATACATACATTTAGTCATTCGTTTATTCAACAAGTGTGTATTAATAGCTATAATAGGAAATGTGATTGATACAAAGATTTATAAAATAGGTATTCTGTACCCAAGTAACTTACCATCTTATAAAATAGGCACCCACTCTATGATACAAAGCCTTATAAAGAGTTACAGATAAAGGGCATTGGAAGTTATTAGGACAAAAAGATTACCTTCAGTGAGAGATCCTGTGAAGCGTTTCCAAAAGAAGGGACAACTGGAATAGACCTTAAAATATGAGTACAATTAGGACATACAAAAAATGTTTTATTTAAATATCAATAACTGTTATAATGTGGTATAGATATAGTTTTACAGATATCATTCATCCAATGAGATTATCATGTACAGGATATGAAGATAATAATAGTGTTAGAAGTAAGACTATTTAGAAATGGTTTTCTTTGGGGAACTAAGGAAACATTTCCTGAGAGAACATGGAAAAAGATGAGAGGAGTTTCAAATAATTGGTCTCTTGGCTTAGAAGAAGAGAAAAGCAGAAAAATTAATGTGAATTTTTCTTGTGTTTGTTAAGATTTTACTTAGATGATGATATATGAATATATTAGACTTTCTATGAAAGAAGGAAGAAGAGTAACCATAGAGTAGTCTTCCCTGAGGTTACTTGGGGAAATAATCACACATGTTTTATGACTATTAGAAAATGTTAAGGAGAAAACTGACACAGTTAGTTTACCCCAAAATAACAATGTTTTGTCTTTTGCTGAATTACCCAGAAAATTGCTTCTGGTCTTCATTTCATGAATGCCCTGTTGAATTGTCTGAAGAATTACAGGATAAGAGTAGTCAAAGCAGGTGAAAAAAATACATAGAGAAAAAAATTAGAAAACATTGAAAGAGAAAAAAATCCGAGAATTTTTTTTAATCCTTTTCTACTGCCCTGGCAGATACCTTTCACAGTTAATTTATTAATCCAGAAAGTAAATTGGAAAAGAGAAGGAATTGGTTGGGAAAGTGCCCTCCAGCCTCCATCTTCTCAGAACTCGCAAGTTCTTTTCTATATTATTAAGAGATAAATACATTTGGATTTTAACTTAACCTGGACAAGGACCTTAGACAGTGATTCACCAGCAATATATGCAGATATGTAGTGCAAAATCTTGTACACACTACTGTGACGTTAGGAAATATACATATGCCACTTTAAGGATCTCTTTCAGCTGTGTAATAGACCTTGCATGTTCTTTGCTTAATGTATACCGGAGACCTGGTCTGCTTTTCTTTATAATCACAGCAGAAGATACATTTTTAAAACCTGGTAATAATTATAACATTTATTAAATAAGATTTAACTTAAAGTAGTGATATTTTGGTGTCTCCATGGACCAGCAGTTTTAATGTTTTACATGTACAGGCTAACTTTGAGTAAAATAAATAGCTGTGGCAGCATAGTCATTGTCACACACAAATAACTCTCTGAGGTATCATTCTCGGTTTTTTTCCTTGATTTATTAATGTGATTTCACATCATGTTTCATAATGATCCTTTACATTAGGACATTTCATTTTATGATTTTAGAGTATCCACTTCATTCATAAATGACTAATGGGTTTTTTTCCTTACCTCTAGAATAACTTTTTATCATTAATATCTTCTCCCCAAATCACCTACTCAAATAATCGTGAAGCTTTTGATGTTATTCAGCCTCATCCATTTATGCACCTGTTTATTCATTCATATATTCAAATGTTTATTGAGCAGTTGCTACAATGATCCTTTCTTCGGTAACTGTGAACGATGACAAATGTAAAAGTGACTGAAGGTTTGCTTTGCCAAGTTTAGGACACTGCTTTATGAGCTATATGGTTCTAGACATTCACAGAACCCCGTAGACTAGGTGCAAAGACTGATTCTTTCAGTAATGTTAAAATTCTGCCACATTCTATGGTTTCATATACCTCTGTTTATTTAGTAGTAGTGAAAAAGTGGATTGTGTTTTATAGCTATGATTATACATTATTTACAAAATGTATTTATAGTTTATTTTTAAATTTCAGTTACTTTTTGAAAATGAGCTCTTGTGATTTTTCTATCACATAAGGTTTAAGAAAACTGTGGATGTTGTATTTCTTCTCGTCTGCAGTTATTGTAAAATACGTAAAAAGTTTAACCAAGAATTAAGTGCCTGTTTTTAAGTAACAACAAAGATTTAATAAAAATACATCCTTTCTTTGCTCAGTGTCCTCTAGCGTGCTGTCTACAACCACTCTTATTGTCAGAAAAGATGTCTTAAGTGTGCTTGTGTTTTAGCTCAGCAGTAAACTTTAGTGGGTTAAAAATAGCCAGACCAATAAATATTACTGCTGTCATATTAATGAAGAACAGGGCCAAAAAAAATACAACCAACAGTAAATAGAGAGGACCCATTTCAATACATGAATTTAGTTTCCTGTAACCTGGAATTGACATTTATACATAGCATAATAAACATTTTGACTTCACAAAGCTATTTTACTTATATAATAGCTATCATTTATTATTGTATTTATATTTTTAAACAATCAATTCTTAGTGTCCTGGAGGCATTTTCTATGTGTTTTATTGGTAGATTTTCATGTCTCTCTTACTATAAAACAGAATTATTTTATCAAAGGCCTTTGTGTTGTTTGCATACCTACCTGGCATAAACCAAAGTGATGGTTTATGGTGAAAGTACATTGGTTGTTTGGAACAATGGAATCGTAAGCCACATCCAGGTGATGATGTAAGGAAAATGATCTTATGGGCAGCTGTCAAAAATCAACCATGTTCTCCGTGTTTTATTGCCTGCCCTTCTTCCTAGGTGTGCTTCTGCCTTTGACTCATAACTCTAGAGAAGGACACAAACAAAACTTATTTGCAATTTGCAAAAAATGGAAGGGGGGAATCAAAAGGAGGGGCTCCAAAAGACTGTAAAATTGTACAGCATGAGTCCTCTGATGCATGCTGTTTTCAATCTGCTGTGTGCCAGTTGGAGGCTTGGGGAGTGTGTGCACTCACGAGAAAGGATAATGCTGAGAAATGATAGAGTGGCTGTGACCTCCAAGCTCAGCCTGGAAATCCAAGACATTGATTTCACTTAGCATTCCTGCTGAGAAATCTGGCGGAGTTCAGTTGTAATAAAAGAACAAGATTCTGTTCTAATGGTAATGGCGTATGACAGACATATCACTTTGTCTGTCCTCAGCACCAGAGAGAGGAGAATTGGAGAAAGGTCACCTGACCTGCCTGTGATGTCGTCGGAGTGCTGTACTGAGCTCTGAACTCCCGCCTCGGAACATAATTATTTATAATATTAAATGATAAAGAAAGCTTTAGAGGACTCACAGTGAACCTCTAAAAACTGCACACGGGAATTATGTTCTGTAAATGTGAAAGCACAGAAAGGACTCTGGTCTCTTCAAAATCTGCATTGGAGAACATGGATAGTGTTGCTTGTTGAGTTCTATGTCCTTGAACTTATTGTTTGTGAACTGTTTTCATTAATTCCTGACATACTGTCATTAATTAACTTTCCTTTTTTTATGCCTTGATTTTATTAGGCGTAAGCCAAGAAAAGTTTTTTTTCATGGTCTGTTTTGCTGAAGATTGGAAAATTAACACCATCAGCGGGTTTTTAAAATTTCTCAGGTGTTATATAAAATCTTTCTTAATACATGTACACTTGTCTCTTTAGCGATTATTTAACTTTTTCTCCTGTGGCTCCTACTCCAGGACTATTTTTTTCATTGACCAAGAAAAGAAAATATATTTAGTTTTTCAGAGTTATTCTCGTAGTCCTCACAGCTGCATTTATGAGTAAATATTGGTAAAATACTTTGAATGAAAGTACGAAATCTAGAACTTTTGTGCACAAGAGATCTTGTTTAAAGGAAATTCCAAAAATAATTCTACTTCTCATATTAAGGAAAATTATTTAGTTAAGGTATTGGTTAGCAGTATTGGTCCTTGAATCTCATATACAATATTGCTGCTTTGAGTCTGCTTGTTTTCCTTAACGAAAGTTTAAATTAATTTGTTTACAGTTTAGTGTATTCAGTGACTTTCATTTTTGTACCATATATTTCTTTGTTTAAATGATTTTCTGCATTACTTGTTGCAGTCTTTTAAGAACCTAGATAGCCTTTGCTTCGTGGTAGTAATTTATCTCTTGATAACATTTGTTTTGTAAGAATAAGTTATTTCTTTAAAAAATAATAGAATCAATATTAGCCTTAAAATAGTTATCTGGAAGGAAGAGTATTTTTACTTAGTTTCAGGCACAACTCACACACTTTTTGGTAATGATTAGGCTTATAACTCCATGTTATCGAGAGATCCTCATATGTCGTAGATGTGCTAACCATCTGAACTTCACATTTTAAGTGTTTTGCCTTGGCCAAAGTAGCCACCTCTTGGGAAAATTCTAAGAGCAACTTGGAAATACTATTAAATGTCTCTTGGTATTTGATGAAAACTTATATATTGCCTACAGCAGCCAAGAGGAGTTAGTTTGAAAAGCTGATGACAAGAGAGAATTCCTGGGTGCGTTTCTTTTAACCTTGCCATGACCCTAGTCATACCCCTGGTCACAGTTGTGTCTCTGTCAATGACAGGAGCACAGAGATTGTCTGAATCAATTTTTTTGTTGTTCTTTTCAAATACTTCTGGCAGTGATGTTCCCATTTGCTCAGCAGTAGCACCTGAGAGTTATGACAAGGAAAAGAAATATTTTTCCAACAAGCCAGAAACAACCCTAGCCAGCTGACCAAACACAATCCGATTCTTTCAGCTGCAATATCCTTATAAATATTGCTTCAAGTT